GCGGCCGGTTCCCCTAAGAAAAGGTTGGTTCATGGCAGTAGTTTGAAGACAGCGTATGCGTGCGTCGGTGATGGTGCGGTCGCCCCTTCGCGACGCGTGTCGCCCATCGCGGGTGAGATGCTGGGACCGAAAGCCAAGCCGGATGCCCTGAGTGGCCCGCCGAGCGATGTGAGCGCTGCGCTAGGCGACTGTGCAGGTGCCGCATCTACTTAAAAATGGGAGCGAGGCGCGAGACGGTGGAAGTGCCGCTTCCACTGTAGCAGATTTAGAGGTATATATGGGAGCTGATGACACCGAAGACGCATCTGTGTGTGTTACCCTTAGTGGTAGACGGCCGAGATCAGCTAGCCGTTATTCGTCGTAAGGATCTGTGTGCCCATGTAGCGATTTGTGTTCGTGGACTTCGTGGCCGACCGACTAAGATTTCGTGCTCGGGACTGTGCAACCGCGTTTTAAGCTCGATTAAAAACTAGTCTTTCGCTCTTCCTCCGGTGGGGGCGAATGTTATGAGTGGACAAAGCTGGTGCCGTGCCAGCTCGCAGGGTTAGTTCGCCGCCGGACCGTTGGTGGCGCTGTGTTCTCTCTCTTCGGCGCGGTGGGGGGGGGGGGACTCAAAGCTTGAGGGTATGTGTGGCGAAACTATTCCGGCTTTGTAATTCTTATTTCGTTCATTCAAGATTAATTATCTGTCAAGAGTTGCGCTGAAAGGTCAAAAACAGCCAGAAGATAGCATATGGAAGCTGACGAAAGGCGCGGGAAGGCGGTTTTATACAGAATGTTATGACCTAAACGTGCGCATACTAGAAAAGAGCATGCACATGATGCATTTCCCGTGAATCGAGGCTGTGGAAAGTGAACGTGGCGCCAGGAAGCAGTTAGACCTTAAGATGCAACTGGGCACGCATAACCCCAACAGACACATCGACGATTGGAGGGACGGAGCAGGCAGATGGTGGTGGCCGGTGCGAGTCTCAAGAACAGCCGTCTTAAAAAATAGCCCGGCCGCGGATCGACATGAGTTAGAAGCTGATATTAGTAGGGATCAGGCTTTGCGCTCGTGCTGTTCTAGCGTAACCAGGTGGGAGCTCGCTGAATGGGTCTCGGTCCGGTGCCGGTGCCAGCTGGCCACGAGAAATCCGGCAGGCAGCTTGGCCAGCGGACTTACAATATTATATTAAAGGGAGTGTTCTACATTTGTATGGGGTTCTGAACTGTAAAGGGGCTGTAGAAGATCATTTGGTGCAGTTTACAATTCTGCCCTCTTTATGGCCCACACACCTCTAGTGTCTGTAAGCTTCACGCCCGCGAAGGGCGTGACTATTTCGTGCAGACTTTCAAGGTCACCCGGGCATCCATGACGTCATAATACCATGCCATTTAAATCCTCAGTTCGTTCGGTCATGCGGCGGCCAAGACCAGTACAAACATACAATTGTTGATTCGTTCATATCTGGCGCTCGTGAGCACGACTCCCAGATAAACGCCTCCCAATCAATGTGCAAGGAACGATGACACAATCAAGCCATGATGTTTTGAGGAGCATGTTTCCTAAAAAGAAAAATTGTGCTGTGAAGAGCAGTATGTTTCATTTAAAAGTATACCAATAATCATAAGTGGGCTTATTTCATCACAGCTTGGCATTGCTCTAGTGTCTTCAAGTTCGGAACATGTGCACATATGACCGAGTCCGACAAGCGGGGCAACGTTGTTGCGTGCGAATGTGTCATATTGGCTGAACGTGGGAACATGAAATTCGACAACTGCAAAAGCGTCTTCGAAACTGCCGTCGGAACTCTTTATTGAGCTATGAGCATGCTTGCCGAGTTTCCGTCAAAGATCGAAGGCCGCGATGAGACTGAAAAGACATGTTTCAACTGGAAAGAGAACGGAAAAATGTGTTGGTCATTTTGCGAAGTGATGCACATGGCAGCACCCACGCGCGGGATCACCAATAACACATTCGACAGTTGTGCTGAGTTTTCCAGGACTGAGGGGGTGTTGTCGATAAATTACGTGATGTCCTTTTGGACGTTTTCAGTCCCTTTTTCCTGGTTACGCACTGTTTGTGCGAGATGAGAGTCCCCTCCAACAGATATGCTCAACGTGTGCACCATCAAAAACCTCCTTCCCTCCATTTCTAGTGAAATTTATTGGAAGCTCCATTTTTGATGGCGTTCTGTTTTGCCGCTTTTGTTCATTTTTGCCATCTTGTTGACCCGCTTTTGTGTTGACGTTCACGGTGTGTTTAAATAGTGGCGCACTTTGGTTCACCAGTTGTGAAAGAATGCGTTGAGCCTAGAGCGATACGCTGGGTGTGAGCATTGGGGTAAAGGTGGCGTTATGGTTAATACGGCTGAGATAAGATAATGATACGACGTTGGGAAAGTATAGAAAGGAAATCCTGGGACATTGATGATAACCGGGCTCAAGATGTGTTCCACTCTGCCAATATATGGACCATATCATCGTGCATGAGAAACCCAGACAGCAAAAAATACATGTTACGTCGGCCATGCTCGGCACACGCTGCTCCAGTCGGACATGCTTCTATGCCTGGCATATCTGGCATAACACTGACATTGGAAAGTGTGGCTATTTTTATTTTTCTTCATACAGTGAGGTTATTGGTCAACTTTGTCCACAATGAAGCGATAGCAAGTGGACAAAGTGTGTGCCTGCTGCTCTAAACCCATCCGCTGCACAAACAGATCAGCTTGTTTAATTATGAGCCTCATGCACTTCCTTGATATCTATTATGTGTCACTTATGTGTGGCATTTATGCTTGGAGTTGCACCGGCAACATCATAACTCCCTGAAACATTGGTTCTCTCTGTTCTGAAATTGGTGATGGCTGAAGCTGAGTGCTGGATTTTAGATTATGCATGTTATTGCAAGTCAAATAATTACTGCAAATATGCATACCTGTTATATATTCATCTCAAATTAGTTTTTAAAATAGTTGTGAACTATTCATGAAGGCTTTAGATGTGTGTATAAGCTGATTGTGAACTTCCTTCTTATTTAAACACTTGGACAGTTTCCAAAATGTGATGTGTGCACATGTCCTTGCATGCTCCATATTTTGTTCTTTCAAACAGACTTTACATTATATCCTGAGCAGGATGTGTCAGTAAGACAGGTTGTGCTAAGCTCAGATGGCTTTGGAAAACACCTGCTGAACTTCAGCCCACCCAGCAAACATGTCTGAGGATATTCTGCTTGTTCTCAGCATATGTGATGGTGAGTGTACTGTGACTTAAGTTGACATAAAGGAAAGTGTTCCCCAGGTATTCTGAGTATGCTCATTTTTAGCAAGACCTCTGAAGAATTTAAGTGAGGGTCAGGCTTTGATGCCATTTTTGATGTGTTTCATTCATTTTGGTGCAGCGTTTGGTATCAGTTACATGATAAAAGTTGTTAGCTGTCATGCAAATGATGTGACATGATGCACCAGTGGTACAAGTGAACTGGGGCTTGCATGGTGCCAACTGCTGTTGCCATTAGCAGGAGCAGCAGTCTTACTGTGCTGTTTATGACTAATGGTGCTGCGGCACTTGCTGTTCAGGGCGTCACCTGCCAGCGCCACCTGGCTACAGCCTGCTGGCAGAGGCTAAGTTTGACCACCAGATCCTGCAGTCGGACCCAGTGCCACTGGCGTCGCATGTTGACTTCAACAGTGAGCTTGCCTGGGAGACGGACAGGTGGGTGATAATGGCTACAGACTGCTTACATGATAAAATGGACTGTGGTACATGGGATGGGTGCTCAGTTGTGCATGGGATGGGGCACTCAAAACTCCCATCACCGCCTTTCGCACTGTACGCCAATTTAACTCAGCCTCTTGTGTGGAATATTCTGATACCACATATTTATAACAAATGTTATGGATCACCTGATGGGCTTTTGCAAAGCTTTCTTTGAGCATTGAACACAGTGATAATCCTGATCTGTCCCTTGATGGTGTGCACTGTTGCACAACAACCTGAGGCCAGCTTTGGCCTTGAGCTGCCTCGGCTGGCGGGGAGTGAGAGCCGCCGTGTGTTGAGCACCGCCGCGTCTGCCGCAGGAGGGCGCTGCAGCAGCACCGCCTGCACAAGAACCCGGTCAAGGTGGAGTTCTACGCCACGTCGGACGCCACCACCGACCTGCGCCAGCTGCTGGGATACGTGGTGCTCGACACGCGCACCGCCATCGAGCGCCAGACCGGAGCGGAGGTACGCGGAGGCACGGCCCGGCACCGCCCACTGGACGTGCATGTGCGGGTGTGTGAGTGTTGGGGAAAGGGTTCGGGCTTACCTCAGTTTCTGAGTGGGGATTGAAGCTCTGTTTTGACTTGCACTGAACAAACAGCCCACTTTTCATCAGGTGGGACACTGCTAATGGTCTTGGATTTTGCATGCGTCGGTGATGTTTTGAACTCTTGTCTTGCTATTGGTGTGAGTCGATGAGCCATGTTTTCGATACTATGGACCTTTACGGGGACCACTTGAAAACGTCGGCATTTGGCGGATTCGCTCAGTTGGTTTGCAGAACCCCAGCCATTTGCTCCTAATATTGATAATCATTGAAACCGGCGTACAAGGAAAGTACAGAACATTCAGATGTGTTCAGAGTCGTCGGGTCTCGAACAGTGCGTAGATAGTTGCGGGCATATGCCGTTCTCTAACAATGACCATGCTTTGTGCGGGTGAGGGCCGCCTGTGTGATAGTTGATGGGAATATGCGTGGCGTTGGTGCTGGGTCCCGCACGTGCTTCCGTCGCCGTCGCCGTGATTCGGTCGGTCTCCTCGCAGCCCGACGTGAAGTGGCACCGCATACTGGGCTGCCGGCCCAAGTCTGCACATGAACTGCCGGCTGTTCAGCTTGGCCTCAGTCTGGAGCCCAACCCGACGGGCGGAAGCAGCGTCCTGGATCCCACCATCGACGTGAGGCAAAGATTCGCGACGCGGTGATGATCGAAGCGGAGTGTCGGACGTCTTCCTAGCTGGATAACTGAGTCATGTTAGAAATGCAGCGGAGCTGCAGGCATGTGCTAACATGCCATCAAAATGTGAGCTCTCAGATATTGATACCCTGTCTCCGTGCTCCGTCAAACGACGTAGCGTGTTCGGCGACGCTTTGACGTCTACGCTATGCCTGCCTGCCACCATCACGACACGCGCCCGCCTGCCCGCCAGCTGTCGGAGACGGCGGGCAGCGAGCCGGAGCCGTGCGAGCCCTCCGACGTCCCGCCGGCGTCGCTGGCGCACTCGCCGCCGACGCGCGGCCCTCCGGCGTCGCAGCCGCAGCTGCCGCCGCCGCCGCCGGAGCCGCAGCCGGAGCCGGTGGTGCCCGTGCTGGACGAGCGACTGGGCTGCTTTCAGCTGGGGCCGCCAGCCGGGCCGCAGGAGCTCTTCACGCTCACGGTCATCGTGGTGCACGCCCGCAACCTGGAGCTGGTGAGCGGGGCGGCCGCCGGTCTGGCAGCGGTGCGGCGAGGCATGCGGGCCGTGGTAGGGGCGGACGGGCTGGTGAGAGGTGGCTCTGCAGCGGCGCGGCGGGGCGTGCGGGCCGTGGTGGAGGCGGACGGGCTGGTGGGAAGTGGCTCTGCAGTGGTGCGGCAGGGCCTGCGGGCCGTGCTGGGGGCGGACGAGCTGGTGAGAGGTGGCTCTGCGGTGGTGCGGCAGGGCCTGCGGGCCGTGCTGGGGGCGGACGAGCTGGTGAGAGGTGGCTCCGCAGTGGTGCGGCAGGGCCTGCGGGCCGTGCCGGGGGCGGACGAGCTGGTGAGAGGTGGCTCTGGAGTGGTGCGGCGGGGCGTGCGGGCCATGGTGGGGGCGGACGAGCTGGTGAGAGGTGGCTCTGCAGCGGTGCGGCGGGGCCTGCGGGCCGTGCTGGGGGCGAACGGGCTGGTGAGAGGTGGCTCTGCAATGGTGCGGCAGGGCCTGCGGGCCGTGCTGGGGGCGGACGGGCTGGTGAGAGGTGACTGTGCTGCTGTTGGGGTGAGGTTTTGCATGGCTCATCTGGAGCTGTTGATATGCAGTGCGAGTGCGCTGAAGCTTGTGAGATTCTGCAGAGTGTGGGAGGGGAAAACAATACCCTAACAGGATTGACAGTACATTTGATGGAGACATGAAAATCGTTGGAGTTGACAATTTTCATGTTTTATGTTTCATTTTTGAAACAGCTCGATGCGAAGAGATTGGTAATGGTGTATGTAGGGTAGATTCCAGCGAACATTTTTAAGATTGATGTGTTGTTTGTCACAAAGAATGCAAATTTGGAAGGCAAAATGCTAATTTTGGCTAGTTATCTAGTTATGCTTTTTTGGCTAGTTATCTTATGTTTGCTTCTTCCTTCCATCTGGGATGTAGGAGAACGTGAGGTGCATGCCACAAATGATGGGACATAAATATTGATCCACGTGTTGCCTGCTCCACGTTTGTTTGTTCTCCCACCGATTTTACGGAATTTGACTGGCCTGACCCCGTGCCGCCATAAGCGTGCTGATTTCTCCCCGCGGGCTGGGGTTATCTGAGCTGTGCCCTCCGATGATCAGATGGGAGGGTCCCCAGTGAGCCGGTCTGATGATGAGCCGTGTCCCCAGCTGATCCCACCCGAGGTGGACCTGCCGACCGGCACCGGCTTCAGCTTCTACTACAGCCTGCTGGGCTGCGACATCGTCACTGACACCTTCAACAACATTGTGCAGGTCGGGGCGGAGGCCGCGGCGGCCATTGCTTTCTTTTGGTGCGAGCTGCTGCATGATTCGCAAGCCCATGCTGGTGCTGTATGCCCGCTAGGTGAAGCTGTCTTAATATTTTCGGCAGTTTGCAATCATCCCTAGTGAGCGTTGTTTGCTATCAGCTGTATCGTATCTTTGTTTCGACTCTGGCGAATCGTTTGGCGTTGGTCTCGTTTGGATGGGGCAGCGCCTCGCACCTCAAGGCGCGCAGTTTTGCATTGCCGTCTGGTATGGTCGCCTGCAATAAGGATGTCGTTGCAATGGCCCAGGCCGTCGCCAGTGGGAAAGCGGTGCTCTGCCACGTTGTGCACCACTTCTTAATTCAGCCTAGCTGTTGTGACGCTACCAGCGGTGTAGGAGCGTCGAAAGCTCTGGCGTCTGGTGTCTCCCCCCCCCCTCCCCCCCCCCCCTGGCCGTCGTCTCGGCTCCACCTCCGAGCGTTTGGGCGGCGGTGCCGGCGCGCTAGGCGCCTGATCTCCGGCTGTGCCGCCGCGGACAGCCGCGGTTTCTGGCGGAACGGGCGGTGACGCGTGTACGGGCGCGGCTGCCCGTGCTGCGCCGCTACCTGCAGCAGCTGGGCTCGATCGACGTCCACCTCTGCTGCGGCGACCTCAGTCTGGGTGAGCCCGGCCGCCGCTCGGTCACGGACGCGCGCGCGCGCGCCACCAGGCTCTTATCACATGACATCATCTTTGTGATAGAAATGCGCGGCGTTAATGCTCATCATCGGCGAAAGCCAATGTGGTCAAAGTGTCTTTGGAACAGGCGGATTGTTAGCGGTGGCGTATCACTTGGAAAGAAAGCGTTTAATGAGTGGAAACGTGCTAGCTGGCTTGCCCGTAACGTGTGGGAAGGTGTGAAAAGTGTTTTCATGCTTTTAATTCGGCTCCGCCACACATCTATTGTGCTTCCTGTAAAACAGGACATTTGAAGCGCATCAGTGTCTGTATCACGTCTGAGGTGACAGGCTTTTGCGTGACGCGCCTCGTGGGGCGCAGGCAGCGCGTCAGTGCCGCTGGCTCCGCTGGTGGCCGCCTTGACGGCGCCGCCGGCCAAGCCGCTGGCGCACGAGGCGGCCCACCCGCTGGCCTCGTCGCTGACGGGCCTGGTGCCGCGCGCCGCCGACGGCCACGCCCCCGCGCTGGGCGTGGCCGTCGAGCTGGCGCACGCGCGCGTCGGCGGCGACGGCCAGAGCCAGCTGAGCGGTGAGGGCGCGGTGTCCGGCCGACGGGAGGTGGAGCCGCCGTCGCGGCAGCAGGCGGCGACGCCTGGCGACAGCACCGTGGGGCTGGATGAGACGCCGGCGGCGACAGATGGGGTTGGCGTCGGTTCTCCGCTGGACCTGGGCTCGAGTCGCCTCGGCAGCGACGTAGGGTCAGTTTTTGTGTGCTTTGGATCAGATTATTACACCGCTGCTCTGTGACCATTGACTACTTGCACCAGCAGTATGGGGTTTTGGTTGTCCCACCTGAATGTCAAAACCCGCTGAAGGATAAAATCTGAGGCGATTAGTCTCGGCATCTCCGCTGAACTGACTTGCGTCTATCGCTTGCAGTTGGCAATAATCCTAAGGCCTTGGCTAACGTGAAAAGTTCGAAAGGGGCCTTTTATCCTGGCACTGAGAAAAGATATTCTATAACACCTATTTATCAGTATAATAGGTACCTGCATGCATCATCCAGTGTCGTATCCAGTGTAGCATGTAGCATCCAGGGCTGCTAATATGATAAAAGGCACGCCAGCTGTCGGCTTTGCGCATGATAGAGTTGGACATGGAGACCGATGCTGGGGTACATTACCCACCAGTTAGCCCCCGCCGGCTCACTAAATGACACCCCAACATCCGGTCACCTGGCCCACTTCCGGTGTTGATGACCCGCCCACTGGTGAGGGCTTGGGGCTAATGTCTCTCCCATTGCGGAGGACCCGGGGCTGATGTCTCTCCCACTGGTGAGGGCCCGGGGCTCGCCCGCTGTGGAGGGCTGCTGGCCATCCGGGAGCTCGTGGCTGACAAGCTGTGCCTGCGGACCTCTCCACTCGGCCCCACGACGTAACCATCGCAACGCGCCGCAACACTGGGTGTGCCCAGCGGCGCACATCGATTTCGGAGGCGCGTTATTTTGCGTTACCATCGGGCAAACGCGCCGGTGTTGCCGCCATCGACCGGTCTCGCCGCCGCCCACGTGCGCGGCGGAGCTCGACCGGCCGGGCATCGATCTCGACAGGCCGGCGGCGGCCGCCTGCCGTCGCTGCCAGCTGACCGAGGCTCGCCCGTCAGATCGCCGGAGGTGACCACAGTGCGTCGCGCGCCGCCGCAGCCGCCGCCGCCGCCGCAGCCGCCGCAGCCGCCGCAGCCGCCGCCGGCCGTCGAGATGGCGCCTGGCGCCGACGAGGACCGGCGGCCGCGGCACTTCCGGTTCGTGCTGGACCTGCGCAAGCTGTGTCTGCAGGAGGCGTGTCGTGGACGAGCTGTGCTCAGGTGAGCTGCCGGGTGTGGGAGTGGGTGGGACATTAGTTTGTCGCTCCCTCTGGCGGTTGTCCCTCCACTTGGTGGGCGTGGCGTGCGTTTTCCAGGGCTTTTTTTCTTTCGTACCCGACATGAACCATGTGGAAGTGCTTCGTGCTATGCGACATATCAGTTACGAGCGAGTACGAGCGACAGGTGAGCATATGCCACGCAGCACAGAAGATCCCCCATAACGATGTGCTCCGCTGCAGACGCCACAGGAAGGCACCTGGTGCACCGTAATGTCATGCGCGCGCGTTGCCGGAGCCCAGACAGCATCCAGCCGCACAAACGGCCTGGACAGCCGCCGCCGCCGTTGCCCCCAGGTTTAGCTACCCGCACTTCGGCGACGCGTGTGAGCTGCGCTCGGGCCCGGTGCCGCTGCCCTGCCGGCGGCCGGCCACCGTGCCGCGCGCCACCTTCGAGTTCAACTTCGCCGCCTCGTGCGGCTGGCTGCGCTCCACGCTGCGTCGGTTCGCCGTCGAGGTGCGCGTCGAGGAGGCCGACACGGCCGAGCTGCTGGGCCGCGCCAGCGTCCCGCTCCACCCGGTGCTGCAGCAGCAGCGCGTCCACACGACGGTGCGTACTGCCGGCGCGCGGCGCGAGCTGGGGTCGGTAGGCTGTGTTCGGCGGTCCGTGGTTTAAGACCATACAGTGTCCTCGTTAGGTATGTTCTCTCAGTGTAAAAGTCTGTCTGGCACTCGTGCGGAACTATGCATCGACGTTGGTATGAATTATGAAGCATTTGGAGCTGAGCTGTGCATTCGGAGTTTGAAGCTCTTACTGCAGAGAGGGTTCAGTCTTTCCTAAAGGTTCTTGCCTGGGATCTCACGACGATTTGGTGCGATACTATCGGTTTTCATCAGCAATGCTGACTTTCATCCGCAAGTGAGAAACAGGGTGACTCAAATAATTTGATGGTACAGACAGCAGCCGTGGGCGGCTGCCGAGGCTTATGTCATACTACATTGTTGGCAGCCTGCAGCCTGCGGCATTGTCGCAGTCCGAGTGGATGTTGCGAGAAACAATTGATGCGAACCATTCTAACCCAAACGTTTTTGAACCTCGGCCTTGCTCTCGGAAGGGACTGATATGGACTGAACGGGATTCGGTGTTGGCGTGGTCGCTCGTGGCCGCTCGTGGCCGACCGCGTCTGCTCGCCCCGCGGCGTGGCGATCGTAAAACTCCTGACTGATGTACACACCGATCCCTCGTGCCCAGTGTCAGTGTACGGATCGGTGCTGCTCAGCGGCTGCTCCCCCTCTCCCAGTCAGCGGCGGGCACCGGTGCATCACCCTCCCAGTCAGCGGTGAGCACCGGTGCATCACCCTCCCAGTCAGCGGCGGGCACCGGTGCATCACCCTCCCAGTCAGCGGTGAGCACCGGTGCATCACCCTCCCAGTCAGCGGTGAGCACCGGTGCATCACCCTCCCGGTCAGCGGCGGGCACCGGTGCATCACCCTCCCAGTCAGCGGTGAGCACCGGTGCATCACCCTCCCAGTCAGCGGTGAGCACCGGTGCATCACCCTCCCAGTCAGCGGTGGGCACCGGGGCATCACCCTCCCAGTCAGCGGCGGGCACCGGGGCATCACCCTCCCGGTCAGCGGCGGGCACCGGTGCATCACCCTCCCGGTCAGCGGTGAGCACCGGTGCATCACCCTCCCAGTCAGCGGCGGGCACCGGTGCATCACCCTCCCAGTCAGCGGTGAGCACCGGTGCATCACCCTCCCAGTCAGCGGCGGGCACCGGTGCATCACCCTCCCAGTCAGCGGTGGGCATCGGTGCATCACCCTCCCAGTCAGCGGTGAGCACCGGGGCATCACCCTCCCAGTCAGCGGTGAGCACCGGTGCATCACCCTCCCAGTCAGCGGTGAGCACCGGTGCATCACCCTCCCGGTCAGCGGCGGGCACCGGTGCATCACCCTCCCAGTCAGCGGTGAGCACCGGTGCATCACCCTCCCAGTCAGCGGTGAGCACCGGTGCATCACCCTCCCAGTCAGCGGTGAGCACCGGTGCATCACCCTCCCGGTCAGCGGCGGGCACCGGTGCATCACCCTCCCGGTCAGCGGCGGGCACCGGTGCATCACCCTCCCGGTCAGCGGTGAGCACCGGTGCATCACCCTCCCAGTCAGCGGCGGGCACCGGTGCATCACCCTCCCAGTCAGCGGTGAGCACCGGTGCATCACCCTCCCAGTCAGCGGCGGGCACCGGTGCATCACCCTCCCAGTCAGCGGTGGGCATCGGTGCATCACCCTCCCAGTCAGCGGTGAGCACCGGGGCATCACCCTCCCAGTCAGCGGTGAGCACCGGTGCATCACCCTCCCAGTCAGCGGTGAGCACCGGTGCATCACCCTCCCAGTCAGCGGTGAGCACCGGTGCATCACCCTCCCAGTCAGCGGCGGGCACCGGTGCATCACCCTCCCAGTCAGCGGTGAGCACCGGTGCATCACCCTCCCGGTCAGCGGTGAGCACCGGTGCATCACCCTCCCAGTCAGCGGCGGGCACCGGTGCATCACCCTCCCAGTCAGCGGTGAGCACCGGTGCATCACCCTCCCAGTCAGCGGCGGGCACCGGTGCATCACCCTCCCAGTCAGCGGTGAGCATCGGTGCATCACCCTCCCAGTCAGCGGTGAGCACCGGGGCATCACCCTCCCAGTCAGCGGTGAGCACCGGTGCATCACCCTCCCAGTCAGCGGTGAGCACCGGTGCATCACCCTCCCAGTCAGCGGTGAGCACCGGTGCATCACCCTCCCAGTCAGCGGTGAGCACCGGTGCATCACCCTCCCGGTCAGCGGCGGGCACCGGGGCATCACCCTCCCGGTCAGCGGTGAGCACCGGTGCATCACCCTCCCGGTCAGCGGCGGGCACCGGTGCATCACCCTCCCAGTCAGCGGCGGGCACCAGTGCATCACCCTCCCAGTCAGCGGCGGGCACCGGGGCATCACCCGCCGGCCTGACCTCCCCTTCTCCCCGGCCGGCAGTCGTCGCTGGGCGTGCGCGGCTTCCAGCAGAGCCACCTGGCGGTGACCGCGGTGCGCGGCCCGGACGGCGCCGCCGCCGGCCAACTCACCGTCGCCATGTCTCTGGACGGTCTGGGCGAGGCGGCCGGCGTGGAGGGCGTGCCGACGCCGCCTCCCGACGCGACCGTGGCGCCGCCCGACGGTGGAGCCGTGCAGCTTGAGGCCGAGATGTACGCGGCGGCCCGCGAGCTCGAGCAGTGGAAGCAAGAGCAGAAGGTGCTCTTCCAGAACCAGGTGAGTCCGGCGGGGTGTTCCGCCGGTCCTTCCCTCGGCGACGCGGCCGGTTTAGTGATATAATGCTTTAGTCCCGTCGTAGCATGGCATGTTTCGTCCGTGCAGGGAGTGAAATGGGGCCTTTTCGCACCAGCCAAGACATGTCTTCGTAGTAGATGTGGTCACCCGAGAATAGAACTGTACTTTGGATACCCGCGCTTCTCAATGGCCTCAGCGACTTAGATTTGCACCGTCGCTCAGCCCAGTGTGTGTGTTCTCGCCAGAGTGATAAAACTGCGCAGTGATAAAGCCCACGAGCGTCGACTTGTCCATGACTGCCCAGTCACATTCAGCGGTGTACAATGACACCGTTTATTGGGCCCAGTGGGCTGCGTGATGCTGTACCCTCTATGCGCGCCGCTGCTGACCCGTGCGGGCCCGCGCCGTGGCGCAGCTGCAACAGCGGGAGGCGGCCCACCTGGCCACGCTAACCGAGGAGTGGAAGCGGCGCGACGCGGAGCGCGAGCTGCAGGTGCAGAAGCGACTGCGGGAGGCCGTGGCGCTGGAGGACAAGCTGCGCGCCGGCCTGGCCGCGCTGGAGGAGCGCCAGCAGCGGCTGCAGGACCGCGAGGACGAGGTCAGTCCTCTGGCGGCGGGCTCAGCTGTGTGAGGACGAGGGGAGGATGGCATTGCGAGGACATTAAGGTTGTGAGGACGAGCTCATGAACGAGAATACGATACGTCTTATGGACAAGGTCATGAGGTGAGGAAGGGATCGGCGAGGTAAAGGGGAAGTTGGACGAGGTCGGGGTCAAGGTCATAAGGTGAGGAAGGGATCAGCGTTGTCAGGAGGGGTCAGGCGAGGACGGGCCAATGTTAGTAGGTCTGAGTTACTGTTGGTAGGACGTGGTCTAGTCGAGGACGAGGAAGACGCGGTCAGTCTTGTGAGGACGGGGTCAGTGCTGTGAGGACAACGTCAGTCACGATGTGAAGACGGAGGAGATGCAGGGAGGACCTGGTAGGTGACGCGAGGGAACGCTGGGGTGACCCGGCTGGTGACGCGAGGGAACGCTGGGGTGACCCGGCTGGTGACGCGAGGGAACGCTGGGGGACCCGGTTGGTGACGCGAGGGAACGCTGGGAGGACCCAGTCGGTAGGCTGTTGCGAGGTCATGTTGCCGGCCATGGATGCCCTTTTCCTCCTCATGTTTGATCTGTCCACGCTGACCGTAGAGCAGCGCCGCCTGTCGGCTCAGCTGGGAGGCCTGGGACCGGTTGACCATGATTTTGGCTGAGGCTTGAATTCAACCAGGCTACGCTTACCAGCTAGTGATCGGCTGAGGGTGGCAGGTTACCAGCTAGTGGTTGGCTGAGGGTGGCAGGTTACCAGCTAGTGATTGGCTGAGGGTGGCAGGTTACCAGCTAATGATCGGCTGAGGGTGGCAGGTTACCAGCTAGTGATTGGCTGAGGGTGGCAGGTTACCAGCTAGTGATTGGCTGAGGGTGGCAGGTTACCAGATAGTGATCGGCTGAGGGTGGCAGGTTACCAGGTAGTGATTGGCTGAGGGTGGCAGGTTACCAGCTAGTGATCAGCTGAGGATGGCAGGTTACCAGCTAGTGATCGGCTGAGGGTGGCAGGTTACCATCTAGTGATCAGCTGAGGATGGCAGGTTACCAGCTAGTGATCAGCTGAGGATGGCAGGTTGCCAGCTAGTGATCTGCTGAGGGTGGCAGGTTGCCAGCTAGTGATTGGCTGAGGATGGCAGGTTACCAGCTAGTGATCAGCTGAGGATGACAGGTTACCAGCTAGTGATCAGCTGAGGATGGCAGGTTACCAGCTAGTGGTCGGCTGAGGATGGCAGGTTACCAGCTAGTGATCGGCTGAGGATGGCAGGTTACCAGCTAGTGATCAGCTGAGGATGGCAAGTTACCAGCTAGTGATCAGCTGAGGATGGCAGGTTACCAGCTAGTGATCGGCTGAGGATGGCAGGTTACCAGCTAGTGATTGGCTGAGGATGGCAGGTTACCAGCTAGTGATCAGCTGAGGGTGGCAGGTTACCAGCTAGTGATCGGCTGAGGGTGGCAGGTTACCGGCTAGTGATTGGCTGAGGGTGGCAGGCTACCAGCGAGTGATTGGCTGAGGGTGGCAGGTTGGCCTTTATTGCCGTGTAAGGTTATTGGACATTGCGTGGTGAAAGAAGCTGACCGAGCTCAGTTCGCAATATCTGGTATGGTCATATAGGCCGGGTGTGAAAGGTAGGCCAAGGTAAACTGCATCCAGTTACGGCGCGGATGAACATGCGTTCTTTCGAAGACTATTGTATTTTATTTATGATGTGCGTTTGTACAATCCATGGGCTGCTAACTGAGCAATGTGTGCTACTTGACATAAAAAACAGACGTGACATAGTGACGTTTCGTGTGCCAGGAAAGGCGCAAATACAGGGCATTTCTCGCACGTACCTTCTAACCTAGCTGACCGCCTCACACCGCCATCATCCAGTCCCAGTCGTCACGGGCCGTCAGCGGCGTCACACTTCAGCTGCGTGTAGTCGACACAGAAGCCGCGCATGTCGGCAGCGTCTGCCAGCGCGTCCTTGCCCCCGTTCGTCTCGCCCGCCGTCCCTCCGGCGTGTACCCGCACCACGAACGGCGCTGAGAACGAGTAGACGACGGCGGTGGCGGCGGGTCGGACACGCAGCCGTCGGCCGCAGAAGCGGGAGCGGCAGGCGCCGCCGTCGGCCGTGAGGTGGTGCGGCGGCCGCCGCCGGTCCGTACCGCACGGCAGCCACAGCCAGGCGCCGCCGCAGACGGACGCGCCGCCGCCGCCGCTGCCGCCGTCGCCGCCGCGCTCGGCGCCCAGCCTGAAGGTGGAGGAGGGCTGGGTGTCGTCGGCGCACTGCCGGTAGGCGATGCCGCAGCGGCCGGCCGCCCGGCGGATGCAGATGCTGTAGTCGACGCCGCTCAGCAGCAGGCCCTGCCGTATCGGCGAAGCACGGTTAGCTGGAGATCGGACGTGCCTGGGTGGAGGTATGCCGCCGCTAGCCCGGGGCTATTCCAGCGGCTGACTGCGGCGGCGTGGAGAAAAGATGTGGCCCTGCAATCGGACTCACCGAGTTCATCCAACGAAATGGAGGGTTCGACCAATTATTTGGGTGTGGCTCAAAATGTCACGCGTTCTGTATACGTATTTTTGGAAGGCTCGTGGTGGCGGCCTAATCATGCGATAGAAATGGACGTTTCAGCAACACAAACATTGCCAGCAAAAGGCGCCGCATTACTTACCGTTGGCGAATCATTTACTATGCATTGAACAAAGGCAACTGGTCTGTGGGATTCCACCACGACTTTACGAAAGCACAATACTCATTATTTTCCCATGTTGTTCAAGCTACTTGATCTGCGTTTACCGGGCCCTTACATAGCTGACTTCTGTATAAAACGAATTGTACCTTTGGCGACAAACTGGGGCACAAGTCCACCGTGCGGCTTGAGGATAACACCGTGCAGCCGTGCAGCAAGACCTTTAAAAACCGTGCGGTTTTGGAGGTCTCGCTGTAGAGCGTGTACTACCCATCTTGGTGTGGTTCGACTGGAATACCGTCTCATATCAGAGGACGTATCCGACCTTACTGTGGTAGCAGTAGCGGCCCACCTGGCTGTAGTTGAAGTTGAACGAGACGAAGCGGCCGGCGTGGGCGGTGTGGTGCTGCAGGCAGCCGGCCGGCGCCGCCTGCGGGGAGCCGCACGCCACCTGCTGCACCGCCACGGCCCAGAGGCGCGGGAACGACGAGTCTGCCTCCACCGCGAGCGTGACCGGCTCCGGGCCCGTCTCCACGTACAGGTGCTGGCCGCCGTTGGCGCTGTCGGCGGCGGCAGGCGGCGGGGGACGGGCGTCAGTTCTCAGCAGCCGGCCGGCGCGCCGATAACTTCTCCCGGCGCCAGGGGGCAGGTGGCGGGGGACGGGCGTCAGTCTCAGCAGCCGGCCGGCGCGCTGATAACTTCTCCCGGCGCCAGGGGGCAGGCGGCGGGGGACGGGCGTCAGTTCTCAGCAGCCGGCCGGTGCGCTGATGACTCGTCCCGGCGTCAGGTGGCAGGCGGCGGGGAACGAGCGTCAGCTCTCAGCAGCCGGGACGGTGTGCTAATAGCTCGTCCCGACGCCAGATGGCAGGCGGCGCGTCCGCCTCGCCTAGCGCCCAGTGCGCTCGGATTCAGCAAGGACGCTGATATTTCTCGACCAAGGGTCTCCCCCAGTCCATCAGCTGTGTGAAAAATACTTGTGAACGGCAGTTAACGTTTGTGTGGGGCTTAGCATGAGACGGCGCTTACCACGGGAATGGCACAGCCGGGTCTAAGGGTCAACCAATCCGATGTTTTGGTAGATGACGACCACTCCGCCGATGTATGACAGGATGTATTGGGTGCAGTCGTCATTGCACTAATGGCAATGCCGGAGGAAAAGGCCTCGAGCATGGTCCGGAGCACTGGCTTAGCTGGTCGTTGGCTGACCCAAATGGTGTCTACCTGCTACGTGACATTTGATTACATTTGAGCGTGGGCAAAGCTGACGGGGCGAGTCGTAAGTACTCTACAGTGGCCGCGAGCTGTCTGAGACGGCAGGCGTGGCGTTCATTTACTGGTGTTACGCCCCCCCCCCCATCCCCCCCACCCCCACCCCACCCCCACACACCAGTTATCAGGGCCCTGTCGGTCTTCGTGGATGCTTTCACGACGCATGGAGCGCGGCTCTTGCCGGTGGCGTCATTTCGGACATCATTTCGGACTTCGTTATTCTGACGTCATGCTTTCCGACCCTAAATTTTCAATCTTACCCCACGCCACACGTGGACAATTCCGAAATAATTGCTCTGGTAAGTCTGGGGCGGCCGGCCCGTCATCAGCGATGTGGCGGGGGGCTGTGGCTTCACTCACCCGCAGAGCACCAGCGGCCGCCGGAGCGCGCCGCCGCTGACGACGAACCGGTCCCGGCGGCAGCGCCGGTCGGCCAGCTCTGGCGAATGTAGCGCCATCAGCGCCAGCTCCAGCCTCAGCCGGCAGACGCGCGCCGCCGGCTGCACGCGCACCGCGCACCGGCCGGCGGCGGCGCGCGGCCGCGGGAAGCCCTCGTTCACGAAGTAGGTGCCGTTGGCGCCGATGGTGGCGCCGCACGAGGCGAGCAGCACGCAGCAGACGCCGAAGCCGCGCGCGCAGGAGCCGGCGGCGCGGCCGGCGCGGCGTCGACACTCGCCGGCCGTGTAGCAGGTGCCGACGCCGCCCGAGCCGAGTCGGCACGGCGCGTTGGCGAAACGGTAGATGGTGAAGAGGGAGGGTAGGCGCGGTTGGCGCGTCAGGAGGGCGGCGGAGAGGTCGTCGAGGAGCGTGGGACCTGGATGGAGCGGCGGCGGTGGAGGCGCGGCGGCGGACACGGCGGGCTCGGGGAGAGGCGCTGCCGGCGGCGACGGCTGCGGCGGCGCACGGCTCCAGCCCAGCCACGGGTTGTCGTAGCGGGAGGAGTAGTGTTCCAAAGGCCGGCCGTCTCTCCAGCCGCCGTCTGGCCGTCTTGCCGCCCGGTCTGCCTCTGCGCCGCCGCCGCCGGCCGACACGGTGGCCAGCGCCAGCCGCAGCGCCAGCAGCTGTCCGGCGCGCATGGCTCGCCGCCGGCGCGCCTGACCGGTGTCTGGCCGCCGCCGGGCCGGCCGTGCCGGACGCACCGGCGCCTGTATCGTCTGATCGGCGTCGCTGCCCCGGCCGGCCGGCCCGTCACGGTCGCCGACGGACCGCTGGACGGGTCGTGACGGGGCAGCGGCGCCGCAGTGGGCAGCCGATAAGACGCGCGCGCGCCAGTTTCTAGACGAAGTGGGGCGGTTCGGTCGGCTGGGCTGTGCAGCTGTTAAAATGTCAATGGAAGCAAGGGACGGGTCGTGATGATGCACCGGTGGTGGAAGAAAATGAAGAGGATGGGATCGAGAGTCAGGTGGTTAATGATGAAATGTCTTGGAGCCTGTTGGCCAGTTTCAGCACCTTACTCTCCGATGTATTGGGCAGCATCGATGAGTACATTGGCGACAAAGCTCATTGCAATAATGCAAAACAAGCGGCGTCTTCAAGAGTGTCTGCCGTGACCCAGTTCTTTATGTACATCCCGTGATTTTGATACCCTGAATGGCAGCATGTAGGTTCTGGATGTTTCTGCAACCTTGTATTTATTTTCAGCTTTGGTGAAAGCTCGCACTTGTCCTTCTCGTACCTCATGTCAATGTCATCATGCTCCCCGAAAGCACTTGCTACACGGTTTGCTCATT